TAAGATCATGGCAGTACAATATTAAATTAGTGCGATAAAGATTTTTCATTCTGTTAAAGGAAAAACATTTACTTTCTCATTTGCAGTGAAATACAATTAAAGTTATTGCCGAGACCTTGACTTGACACAATTATTTGTTCATTGAGTTTAAATTAAGTTCCAAACTGAAGTAGCTAAACTTTTGTACTGAGATCTCGGGATTAGGTCATGATTGTAAATAAGTTGGTTCGCAAAGTTGAAATAAAGTGCACAAACCAAATAGTTTCCAAGCCCCAAGCCATCTGGACCCATACGGTTTTTGCTGACATGTACTTGAAAAGTTTGTATTACATAAATCAGTTAATATTATGAGCCCAATTTATTTATTTTTTTATTGAGTGATCTAGTGCATGCATTTGAAATTAATCTCCCTCTCTATCCACAAATTTTAAAATATCCGTCATTCACTTTCAGACCAGAAAAAAACAGGAGATGAGGGAGATTATTAAGGATCAACCTAGTCTCCTAATAATTATGTACAAATAGTATTTTACTTTTATTTTATTTTTGCATGTTTCTTTTAAGAGATTGGGTTGAACTGTTTCGATTATAATGTATGTATTTCATGTGTTTCAGTAGGATAAAGTTTTAACAAAGAACTACAGTTACATCATAGTCATTTATTATTTCCAAAAAAACAAAAACAAATGTTTTGTGAATATTTTTTACTCTGAGGGAGGACACATGAGTTTAGGTCAATTTCAGGCATCAATAACAGTCACCTGCCAAAAGTCATAATGTGATTTTTGGCACAATCTTATATTGAATCATAAGACACCCTGTGATTCCCAAACCTAGATAAAACATCAGCAATCATTGGGTTAGAACAGCCATTCCCAAACTCAGTAACACCGAGGCCCCCTTAAAAATCTGACGGGTCTGCGTGGCCCCCCAAAATAATAACCAAGAAGACAACATTAAGAATAGGCTCTTCTGGTTATTTTATTTTGGGGAAATAGCCTCTGCTACAAACATTGTAATACAAAAATGATTACAGTGGATTATTAAAGTCAAATAATGAACACAAATATTTTAATATTACAAACAAAACATTATAAATTTAACATTAAATAATTATATATTTTTTTTATTTTTTTTTATGACCTCCCGCGGCCCCCCTGCAGTACCCTCGCGGCCCACCAGGGGGCCGCGGACCCCACTTTGGGAGACACTGGGTTAGAAGATAAACAACTAAGCTGTGGAGGCATTTCAGATAACCCTACTTTTGTAATTGACAAAACATAAAAACATTATTGATTTTTTTGCCCTATCAAAGGCCATCTCAAAAGAAGCCTCTCATGGTTTTCTCTTATCTTGTATCTCGGCCGTGTCCTCTCTCCTCAGACTGTGCCGCTTCAATTATTAGCTTCAGGGGGCAATTACGACGTCGACTCCTCCATCTCCAAACTCTCCTTCAATCTCCCACACACATTTGAACCATCAAGGACGCAGTCAGCAATGCACGAACGGAGCAAATGTGAAAAAACACAAAAATCCTGCTGAACAATTCAAACTTCTAACACTCTTCTCTATCTCCGTGCATCCTCTACAGCTCTGTCCCAATCTCTCGCTCTGTTCTCCCTCTCTCCAGCGGCTCGGGGAGGTAGAGTGACTTTGAAGAGCGGGAGGAAAGGGAGGGACTAATTAGTTGTCCTTTTCCCAGCTGCAGTGGAGTGATTCACTGGCTCCGAAGTTACACCGACCACGCATGCTAACGAAGGCTGCTTATTGGAGCATTATCCATAAACGTACATGGATAGCAAATTGTATATGTGTGGGAAAAGAGGACAGAATGAATGTCTCAATGATATTGTATGTAAAGTACAGTTTTACTATCGAGACTGGAAGTGGGTAAAGAGACGATTGATCTCCATAGAGTGTCTGTTTTCTCCTGACATCATCTACATAGGAGAATTTAAATTATGTTTTTCCCACTTCATTCTATTCGTCTTTTGCCTTGCAATTATACAGAAATCAACAGTGACATCTTCATGTACCAGGTAGGGAATTCAGTCTTTAGTTGTTTAGTTAATAATAGTAATGACTTCAATCACAATAATTAATATGTGAGAACAGCAAAAATGAAAAGATATGGATTGAAATGGCTGAATATTTTCGCATTTACTTTGATACTCAAGCCAGGTCAAACATTCAATTCACTTGTTTAATCAATGTTTTTTTTATGAATCGTTAAACAGTTGGTTTAGTTTATTGGTGGCTATTTGTCAAAGGTTTTGGCAGACCAATTTGGGTCAGATGCATAATATTTTTTACCCGCCCCCTTTCAGTTGACTGATCGACCTAAAATGTCTTTGGTTGACTGCAACACCTCTACTACTAGGTCAGAAAATAATGGAAATATGATTGAGTCAGCACAAATATTCCCACATTCAGTATTTGGCTTGATGCTTGCATTTCTGAAAGCATCACTCAACTTATGGGTGAAGACATAAGCTGAGTGGATCTACTGTTGGGAGTTTCATTTGCTTTACTCAGATAACCACAATGTTCACACCCATTACTTCACATTAATAAAATAATATGTTGTTAGACTTTCAGATGATCTTTACTCATGATAACCTAACTTTGTGTATCCTTGCATAGTTGACCACCTTCTAACTTTCTTCCACAATACAAAGACAAATTTCGAGGTCACCCCAGTCCCTCAGATTCTGACTTTTCCCTGAAGGCAAAAACCAGCTCTCAGTGAAGTGTTGGCTCCTATCACTCTATGCAAGTTGCAAACACATGGTCACATGTCCGAGCCGCTTCTCTCAGACGTGACACTGTCCACACTCGTATTATTATTCAGACCCAGCCAGGGAGAGATTTTCAGATTACAAGAAAAAACCATAAAGTATGCTTGGTCTTTGAAGTAGACAAAGTCCATCCCCTCTGGAATCAACTGACTCAAAGCTCACAGCAATGCATTATCAAAGTCAAAGCCATCTCTCCCGTCAATGGTCTCTTTGGTTATGACATCACACCCAAAAAAGACAGAGCACTGAGTTCACAGACTGGATGGCATTACTTACATTGTGCAAACTCGACAACTGAAACAAATGAATATATGCATTTGGATAGTAAACAAATTGTGCTTTGAGTAATATATCCTCACATATTGTTTTGTGGTCACAGAAATGCCAAAAGGAGAAATAGTTCTGCTTTTTCTTATCCATTGTTTGAGAGGGAAGACTGATGATAATTGACACTTACAATCATCCATAAACAGTAGGTGCATGCGTATGGGACAGCACTACCAGACCTGTCCTGCAGAGTCGGGCCGTCTCCTAATGGCACCGCGGGGACCCAGGGACATTAGCATATTAAAAGGTGACATTTCAGAGCGGAGCGCAGGCCGATCAGTCTGACAGTGTGACAGGTCGCAAAAAAGACACGAGGACGAGCGGGCTACATAATGGGACTTTTTGAGGCTGCTGGGATTGAATCAGGAAACACCTGTCCGGTCCCAGGAAGAGCCGCGGCACTGAGGCCTAATTATGTTGTGCTGGCAGTTGACAGGGACCTGACTCCGAAAGCAATGATGACCTTGACTGAAGTTATACATATTCAGTGCAAAAAAAGTATGAAATTATAAATTGCGAAGTTTCACCTGGAATTGGATATACAGTGTGTTGACAATCTGGGGTACAGATATTTCAACAAATGGAACTAGGTAATACAATCTATCTAACTATATTCCTCAAAACAGTTTGGTTCCATCAGTTTTCACATGCAGTCCCTCACTCAGCCAATCAGATCCAAGCACAAGGTCAAACAGTGACTCTTTCTTACGTATGAAAAAGGTAAAAAGCTTTGTAATAAGATTAAGATAGAATGCTGTTGTTCACAATGTTCTCACAATTACAAGTACCATAAAACTAAAAAGAGCTTCCGAGCTTTAATATAAGATTTACTGAGTGAACAAGAATAATTGTTTTGTTTTATCTAATATAATAAAAAAACAATTTCTCACCTTGTAAATTTTCTGTGCCTGAAACTAATCTACTTCGTTCATTTTCAAAGTGAAAATAAACCTCCCTCTAGGCACTTTTATCCATCTGTTTTTTTATGGTTCCTATCGTTTGTTAGTTTCCCATTTCCTGATTAAAACAACATTTGATTTAGAATACAAATATCACATGTTGAATATTGACCAGTTAAGGTGGGTATAAACATACAATAAAAAGGCTTCTTAGCAACGCAACTCACTTTTCTTTGAGAAGTAGATTATCAATTCAAATCAATATACTGTACTGTAGTTGCATTACTCAGAACAGAAGTTGTTTCGATGGGTGTCACAGAATGGTTGATACACCAACAGCGGAATAAAAATCAAACAATGGGAACACAAATACATACAAAAATGAAACACCTAAGAGTTATTGCTCCATAGGATAAGGAGTTAACGAGTTTGTAAATGTCCATAAATGTCCCCGGATCATGCCCTGTCCTTGGTCCCTCCTGTAATGGAAAGGAAAATCTCCAAAACCAAGTGGGAGTAAACGCAGGTGTTACGTGATTATCAACCATATTAAAATCCATAACTTGAGAAATCCGGCAGAGACTCCGCTGTCCCCATCTGCACCGCGCCGAGAGCAGAGTGGCAGCAGCTAAGTTGGGTAATTGGTCCTGAAGTGTGGTTTCAGCAGAATCCTTGGTCCTGTCAGAGGCCTGTCAGCATTTGACATCTGTTCATTTTCCAGAACCTGGGTTAGGACATTATCCCACGGTTCCTTCTGCCAGCCACACGTAACACCGCTTCTAGCCACTAGGATGGGTCGAAACATCCCATTTATTTGCCAGGCTATTGTAACTCAAAGTTTCCTTATCTAAGTTGCTATGTTATGTCCAGAACATTGTGATTGTCAACCAGATTTATTTTGTTCAAATGTCTTCTTCTGGTGAACAAGCAGTCAATAAAATAGAAAAAAACCATTTAGTATTAGTATTACGGTTACCTTCATTAGTACTGACTCGCTGAGCTTCTCCCGGTTGACGATCTTTATGGCGACTTTCTGGCACGTTACACAGTGGATCCCAAGTTTGACTAACCCTGTAAACATACAGAGCCTTCATTAGAGCCAATCCTTTACTGTGTGTTAAAAGTTAAACAGTGACACATTCGGCAAAATAATTAAAAAACATTTGAGACTTTTACCATGTTAGAACATTATTCCCGAATAAAAAACAGAGCTCTATCCACGCTAATATGAGGAACTTCTCCCTTTAGTAAGATTTTTACATTACGCGCAGAGGCGTTTTTAGCCTTTTAAAAAACAGTATTGCCCCTACATTAGTCTTGGTAATTTATCAGAAATTATGTTTTAATACAATCACTTAGCAGAGGTTGAAATATGTGTGGAAATTACCAATTTCTTATTAGTACCAACCTAGTGGTTAGCATACGGAGGTATAGGCAGAAAGCATTTATTACTTTCCATACAAGTGTCACCATACTTATTCTACTTAAAATATTACTTCACATTCTAAAACATGAAATGACAAAGTAAATAGTCTGATAATCCTTTCTAATGGCCATAAACAATCCATAACCTTTCTTCTTTAAAGGGCCGTAAAAGCCCATAGAAATCAAAGTGTGACTGCAGTATGTAAACTATTATGCCCTATGTACACAAAGCTTATAATGACTTGAAAAGAGTGGCCCATTACTTAAGCAAAAAGGCCTCTGGGGGTTAGTCGAGTCGTAAAAGTAGTAAGAAAGTGACCATTCCCTGTTATTGATTGCCATAATGCTCTAAACCTTGGCAATGCAGTTCTGCGGAGTTAGCTAAAGCAAACAATAAAACACACTGTAAAAGATGGCCTTAGTTATGGTGGATCTTCCATAAATAAACATTATTAATTTTCAGACTCGCGTAGGTGTTCGGTTCTTCACACTAATTTCTTTCTTTTGTTCCGCACGGGCATTAGCACTCCTATCATCACTCACATATTGAGTGTAACATGATTTGTAACACAGCCAAACCACAAATAGAACATGAAAAAAATAATGCTGCTGTGGATAATACCAACTGCTATTCTTAAATGTCACTACGCTATGTACACTCGTGTCTCAAACTTGTGTATTAGGCAAAGTGGAACAAATTCACTAAGCATACTCTGTGATTTCCCCAAAGGCTTCACGCCGGAGTAGAGCTGATGATTTGACACTAGCATTTCAGGAGTGTAAGTGGCAAGTGAGACGCAAAAGTGTCGTATGAACATTGTGGAACGGCCTGTTGATTTTTGAAGCACCACGAAAGAGAGGAGAATGTTGCAGATCCAAGTTTCTCGCTAAATAGCAGAACGAAGAGTGCGCGTCCCTAAAGCAAATTGGTTGGCAAAAATAAGATGAGCGTGGGTTTCGGATTTGAAAACTAGGCTTGCGTTTGGCTGCAACAATCTCAGACAACACACAAGTACTACATGTTCTATATTACTTTATTTGTATCTACTACCTGTAAATTCTATTTCCACACAGAAGAACATACTACAGCACTAGCAACGAGACAAACCAAAAAATCTCACTCAAGACTTGCATGGAACTCAATAACAACCTCCATGGGATAATGACACATATATAAATGAAAAAAAGATAGCTATACCTGTATTTCTATTTAAGACAACCCAAAACGTAAACATTTTGTCTCCTTTCTGAAAAATAAAACCCCAACATTCATTGTGGAGGGATTTTTTTTTTTTTTTGATTTTGGCAGCTTTTCCCCCTACTATATATCTGGCTCAGTAAAGTGGATATCACAAATTACATAATGAAATTACTGAAGAATAGAATTGCCTAATTTGGGGGAGAAATGTGAATCTGACTCCATTAAAATCAGATGTTATTTTTTCTGCCATTTTACACAGTTTTAAACTATTCAACAAAGGGCGTTATACAAACTCTGTGCAGGCTGTCTGACAGGAGGAATATATTTATACAATAAAAGCTAAGAACTTTGTCCTCTTCCCCTTAAGAATGCACTTAATTTCATGGACTTCAGGTTTAGATGTTGCTTATTCATGCATGCTCACAAAATTACCCGTCACCAGTAAGAAAGAGCATAACTTCCACGAAAGAATAAATGAAAACGGGAGATTACAAGTTCTGTTAATTTTCAAAAATAATAAAACTATAATTGGGCGCGGGGTTGGTTTTGGGAATCGGAGACCGCAGGGGCCAGGGGCAGACACAGACGGAGTGGAGGAGGCAAAAGCAAAATTGAAGAATGCAGTATTACTATGGGATGTATACGTGAATAGCTTGGTAGGACGAGAAAGATGCAGAAACGTGGGTAAAATGGTGATGAAAATAGGACCGGGAGGGAGAGCATTCCATTAGACCAGTGATGATAATCGTATGTTAATAGCAGCTATAGAGAAACTCATAAGTCACCATAAACACATTAAGGAAATATCCGCCAACAAACACATAAAAAGTTAACCGGATTATTTGGCTCACAATCCATCTTTCCCCCAAAATCGCTTCAGTGGATGCATTAGCGAAAGTCTTCAGCACCCGGAAACACATCAGGATTCCACCAACATTTTGAACCCCGTTGGAAAAAAACTCCCATGTAGTGAACACAAAAAAAATGAGCCTATTTTTCCGACATGCATAAAAATATCATAATAATAGCGCGGCGAATGGGCGCTCATGACAACCACCTCACCTGGGTCATTACTTTATTCATGGTGGTGGAAACTAATCAAAGTGTGAAACAAGATTAATCCAGGCAAAATCTCAAAGCAACTTTAAAATGGTTTCTTCTATTATTTTAACGGTAAAGTCGTAACCAGGACTATGCTACGTTTATGTTTTAAGGCCTTAGGGAAGAAGTTTAATCAAGTAGTCATTATTTGCACTGCTTTTTATGGCATATTTATTATAGACTTGAGATTCGACCATAACTGAAATAGAAATAATTAGTCCACATTTAAGGATTACAGGCTTTAGTACTGGTATATTACATCATATTCAGGCATTATATAAAGAAACTATTTGAGCACACATTTAAGAAGAAACGATAGTATTAAATATAACACGCCACTCTCATGTGAAAGTCGGATCTCAATAGATAAAAGGCCCTGGTTAGCGCTGTGATGGGAGACCTCAAGGATCACCAGGTGCCACAGTGTGCATGGCTGTAGCTGTAAAGTGCTGAATTGTTGTTGTGACCTTAGGCAAGACACTTCACCCATATTGCCTAGTATGAGTCTGGTGTGTGAGAGTGAGGGGTTGGTAGTTGCCAGTGGAGCAGATGGCGAAGGGCAGCTGCGGCTAGACAGTGACGGAATAATGTCATGTGAAGTGTCTAGAAACGTGTTGTATAAAACCAATGCATTATTTTTCATCAAAATGGTTTTAAGACAATATGTCCCAACTCAGGGCGCTAAACTTTAGATGGTGCTTTGCTTCACTGCCTCAAAAACTATCAGAGTTTCGTAACGAGCTTTTGCTTCACTTCTGTGCGACTTCCGGAGTCACTAAACTCCTGACATCTGTCCTCCACACAAGAGTAATAGCTGCTTTGGTTCAGTCACCCATGGCACCATCTCTCTGAACTTCATGACAGAGAAACTCTAGCAAACCCAAATGTTCAATGGGTTGGATGAAGCTCTGAAGTCTGTCTGCCCTTAAATACTATAGCGAGTGATTATTTAGGATCCAATTATTAACGTCCAAATCAAGCAATAGAATGAGTACAAAAGTGACTTGCCGCTTTCATTGAAGTCATTTGAGGGTCTGGAGTTATCATTGTAGTCTTTTCAATCTCATGAACAGACAGTGCGTCTTAGGTGGCTCTGCATTCAAGGTTTGCTTTCATTTACTTCTCTAAGTGCTTCGGGCCACAGCAGAGAGAAGCACCTAAAGCGTTTACTAGTTGTATTTTCATTCACTGAACCAAGGAAACACAAACACAATCCAAAAAGCGTTTTACAATCATAAGACAAACCTATGGGCCATCGTTGTTGTGGTGTCATCTCATTTAGTAAATGGTAGGATCAGGAGGGTAATTCAACTTTTATACAAAGGGAGAAACATGAAAGCAACGTTGTGCTGTCTAAATCTGTCAGTAGTTGGGAGTGACAGCTGGGTATGGCAGATTATTTACATGTATTGATTTGGGGAAGTTCCCAGTGGGGCCTTCGGGACCGTTTATGTTCTTGGAGCCATTTAGCCAAACCACAGTGCCTGGAAAAGCTCTCACTCCGAGGATCCTGTCAGCTCCTTTAGCTACAAGTGATTTTCGGGCCATTCCGTTGCATGCTGATGAACGCTTCATTCATATCAAGCCGCTGCCAGGACGCGAAGAGACAGCCAGGTGTATACCCTTGGTTCAAACGCACATTTCCCTCGTTTATCAAATCAATGCGAGCTTATAATTCTACAGCTGAACAACCAGCTATTTTCACATGCATCGCAATCACCGTCCATCTCGAGATTTTAGACGGCGATACCAGTGGAGGAGATGAAAACAGCCCGCACGTACCTCGCTAAGTTTTAAACGCGATCTTTCTCAAGCCCTAAGCTGACGTGTGCAGATGGTAGTAGCTTATGCTGGCTTAGCTTTCACTCCCCGAGGCGCAGGCTCTGAGATGCTCCATGCCCTTAAGCACAGATCTGCGAGCGCATTGCCACTTGTGCTCCTCAAGCCGAGCCAGAATCATCTCTTCACTATGCATTCACCCACAGGTCCAGAGGTTTAGGAATCAATTTCAACAAGGTTCCTGGCAGCGGCAAAGTGTAAGTGCCAAAGTGAATGTAGCAACAAGAAAAGACTAAAGGAAAGAAGGAGAAAGCGACAATTCTTACATAATAACAGATGAGCTAAACTTTGGTATGTAAAAATCTTTTTGATTAAGTCTGCCTCTCACCCAAATCTATGGTATCTAGCCAAAACTCTCATTCAAATGTGAAATTATTTAAGTTCTTCAGGTTGATTGGATAATGCTTTGCCTGTTTTTTTCTTGTTATTCATAATTTCACAGTAAGTATGCATCAAAATTCATCTAACTAGTTCTGTACAATCAAAACCCTAGTCTCTATCACTGGCTTCCACTT